AAAAAAAAAAAAAAAAAAAAAAAAAAAGGGGGTCCATCACTTACAATGGTTGCAAGAGATTATCTCGGTCAGGTGCCGTTGAGTTGACCCAGACGCTGACACTCATGCCATTCACGGGGAATACCCCATACCCCGATGCATCGATGGTAACAACGTTCTCGTGGCTCTGCATGATATCTGTCCACTCCTCGTTGGCGTGCTTCGGTCCGACGTACATGCGCTTTTCTGCTGCCGCCCCGTTGCTCATAATGCAAGCCAGTCCGGAAGGATGGCGCGCGTTTCCGTAACGGACAAATCCTGTTGTCTTGGTTAGATGCAGAAATTAAATGATACGTGTAGCATGTTCATGGCCAGAGTTTCAATATAATTAAAAAAGAAGCCAAGAAAGATGAGAAAAAGTAAAAAGGAAATGCATGTGCTCACCTATACAGTTGGCTTGGTCAAAATAATCCTGCTGTTCTCCATAAGCATACAACTTTCGAGCCCGCGTGAGAATCGGAAGTTTGCCCTTGCAGGCTCGCTTCAATGGCTTGTCTCCTAGAGTACCATAGAGGTCTCCGTAAAACACGCATGGATGTCCATCTTTGCGGAGGAGCACCAATGCATATGCTAGCGGTTTGAAGTATTGTGCAACTGGGTTCTTCGGTTGGTTAGTCGATTGAAAGGATTTGGGCAGAAAGTAGGGTACTCACTTCAAGCATTTGCCCGGGTACCTTAATGTTGTCAGTACAATTCATCATTAAGGGAATAAAAGTTCACTTACCGTGTCATGATTCGAAACAAATGTCTGTAGCAAATTGTTGTCAGCATCGCAGTTCTTTGCCGGATCTACCACATCCACTCACCAAAGCATTCTCGGGCTTGCTCTGCACCAAAGTACCCTTGAATATCTTGCGAAGATCGCCTCCCTTTGTGTACGATGTCCTGCACAAACTCACCACAAGAGGAACATCAACTGCTGTCACCGAATGATCCATCTGCTGAAGATATCCCACAAGATCCTTTAAATCTCCCGACCAGTATTCGCCGATGACAAACAGATCCTTGTTAGCCGTCTTGCGGACATGCGCAATAAACTCCTTCTGGAAGCCAGCAGAAAAGTGCTTCGCGGCGTCCAGTCGCATGCCACTTAGCGATAGCTCATTTGTTATCCAGGTTCCCCAATGAAGGACGTCTTCCCGAACCTCTGGATTGGAATAGTCCAGATTTGCAAACATCAAATAATCATAGTTGCCATTGTCCTTGCCCACATCTTGTGCCCAATCCTTGCCTGGCGCATGGATCTTGAAGATGGCATTTTCTCTGCGCGATTCGTCCCAGTCCACACCATTAAAATGCTGCCAGTTATATTTCATCGAGCTGTACTGGTCGCCGCGGCCAGTGAAGTCAAAACCGACCCAGCCCTCAATTTCAGTGGGCTTGGATACCTCGACATTTCGTCCTGTGCGAACAACAAACTGGAATCAACCAATGACCGAGAATAAGGAGTGGATGAAAGAAAAAGGGAAAAATAAAGGTCATACGATTAGGATCTACTTTAACAGCCTGGAACCGTTCGGGATAATCCGCCCCGGCTTTATGATTGAGCACCGCATCCCAGTATACACCAACACCCAGCGACTTTGCTTCTTCCACAAGGTCTTCAAGCTCCCTCCGAGAACCCCATTTGGTGGTTCGGGATCCTTTCTGATCGAACTCGCCTAGATCATACAGGTCATATATATCGTAGCCATTACCGGAGGGGTTCATGGCTTTGCAGCCCGGAGGAATCCAGATATTGTCGATCCCAATCTCTTTCAACCCCGGCAGAGCATGCTGCAGACGTCGCCAGTGGCATGTATCATGTGGTACGTGCCATTCAAATGCTTCCAGCAGCAGAGTGTTGTCGGGGGCATTCCATGATGGGCGTGATTCCAGATCCCGAGCTGCTTCTGTTTGTGTATAAGACGCATTAGAGGATGTAAACAATCATAGGGTCTCATGAAGTATATTGTGGGGGAGCTAACCCTCAATCTCCTTCCATTGCTGCTGTTGCTGCTGTCCCTTTCTCCTCTTCGGAAAACAGCGGGAGAAAAAGGACACCATGACGATAGCCGACGATGGAGCTTCTCCAGATCACAACCGTGTGCTAAATTCAGCAATCAATGCTGTGAAATAGTCGAGTCCTATAGATTAGTATCAAACCGTCGAACATGTCATATGTAAGGACCTTCGGGCAGAGATTAGTCTAGTGGAGTCAAGGCCAATCGTTAAGTGGGTCTTGTTCACTATTTTTACCCGCGCCACCGGGTTTCAATTGTTGTTTGTCTCACTGTCTTTTTTCCTTTTTTTTTTTCTTCGTTTTTCTTTTTTCCTTTTTCTCTTTTTCTCTTTTTCTCTTTTTTTTTTCCGCGGCGCTTTTTTCTTTTTCGCCCTTCTCGTTTCTCCTAACCCTAAGTCGGATGTTCTCCCGACACAACCCCGAGAAAGCCTCTACTAGTAAAGCTGATTTTGGTTAACCTTACGTCTTAAACATCTAGGATATTGTTGAATCGGCAGATTATAGAGGTAAAATATTATTAGAATCATAAATATATTTTCCGAATGTCTTAACAGGAGTGTAATACTATGTTGAAAATTTAAGTGCATTTCTAAAGTTGGGATGCCTCATATGAAAAAAAAATATATCACTTTGTCTTGCACTACCCATTATATATAAACATATGCAACTAGTATCGAGATCAAAAAAAAGATAAAAAAAAAACCTAAAAAAATATTATATATATTCTGCGTACACGTACATTTCAATACTAGTAAAACATTAGGGGGATAAGCATAACAACATTAAGTCACCCATAAGAAAATAAATGTGGTACCTTGGGTATCGTACGGTCGGAAAACGTGCAATAAGAAAAGAATATATACAGAAGAACGAGAGTAACTTCATCATCAATACACCTCGACAGACCCAGATATATTATTGTCCCAAGCACTGGGCAGACTACAACAATACCGCAACAAGACTAGTCAGGAGAACAGAAAGCAAGACGCCGTGAGCGGCGCTGCTGGTGGTCTTGGCCCCGAGAGACATCGCAGCCGCCGCCGCCGCCGCGCCCTTGGTCTTCAGCTCAACGAACGAAACGTTCGCAGACGAGTAACCGCAAAGACCACTGCCCGGCATGAGAGAGGTGGGGAAGAAGACTCTCGGTTCGCCCTTGTCCATGGGAACAGTCAGTTCACTCTGTGAATTGACCGTATAGTTCACACAGTTAAGGACATCTACAACCTCCACGCCTCCGTTGTAGCTCACAGGCATCGTGAGGTTGTAGACGCTGCTATTGCTGCCCTGAGTGGACAAGAGCATCACCACCTGTCGGCCCTCGACACCTTTGCGGAAGCCCAATTCACTACCACCCCGGAAGATGGGGTACGTTTGGAGACTGACGTAGTTCGGATCAAGCTTGTAGGCGTGCTTACGGATGGCGTTCAGTTTTGCGATCAACTTATATAGCTCGGCGTCGGTGTTGTAGTTGGTGAGCCAGATAGCTTCACGGTTATCAGGCGTGCCCGGTCCATCCAAATGCTGCTCTTGGCCTTGATAGATCATAGGAACGCCATCGTAGAGGATGGTGAAGGTTAGAACATTCTTAGCAAGCTGTGTTCATTCAAGTTAGCTTTGGAGGTTTTTGCTTGATTGCGCTGGTCTCAGTGCATACCGCGATATCATCAGTCATACTAGCAAATCGGGCGACATCGTGGTTTTCTGAGAACGAGGCGAGGGCGGTCACATCGTCGCAGGAATTCTTCATGATTTCCACCTGGTTGGCCAAGTCACTAGTATTGCCCAAGGTGAAGGCATTGAGGACCGAGTAATAGACGGGATAATTGGGGACACTGCCGATGTAGTTATTCTGGTATTCGCAGATGGTGTCGACTTCCCGCTGCAGGACTTCTCCGGTCATGAACGCGCCGATGGCGTCGCCAAAATTCTTCAGAAAACCAGGGTCTACATGCTTCGCCGCATCAATACGCAGGCCATCGATCGAGTAGGTGGAGATGATTTCCTTGGCCCATTTTTCCAGTGTCTGTTGTACGACCTCATGTTCCGTGAACAGATCGGGCAATGCTACCTTGTTGTCTCCGGTTTGACACAGCTGGGCGTTGGTGTAATTGTTCCAGTCAGTAATCTTACAGTACGGGTGAAAGTAACTGGAGTCGTTGAAAGGAGTGAAGACCGAATAATCAATATTCTTGGCCGGGTCCTTGCCGTTGGTCATATATGCCATGTTGTTGATGACCGTATCCATCATCAAGTACATACCACGAGAGTGGAGAGCCTCACTCAGGTCGAGCAGATCCTGGTGAGTACCGAAATGTGAGTTGAGTGAGTACAGATCCAGGGGCCAATAGCCATGGTAAGCCTCTCCATAGGACACGCGGCCCTCGATGTTTTCTATGATCGGGGAGATCATGACCGCATCGAACCCCATGCCCTGGATATAATCGAGCTTGTCAATGGTGCCTCGCCAGGTACCGCCACAGTATAGGCCCTGAGTGGTGTTGCACGGGGCGGTCGTTGAGCCATCAGTGCGCGCGAATCGATCTGTCATGGTTTGATAGACGGATCTTGACTTCCATTCTGCTGTGGTTGCAGCCAGGGCTGATCCTACTAGGCTGGTAACCAAGGCGGCACCTGCCCATCGCCCCAGGGATGACGACGAGACCATGGTCGCGGGAGTAATTTCCGGTGGATCCTTAACTCGTGTAACCCCAGTTCATGAAGTGACAAGCTGATGGTCGATCTTTGTGGAGATCGTCTGTAGGCTCTGCCGTTTAAGCTCAAATGGCGCACCTGAAACAGTTCGTATAGTACGCGTTTTGTGGGGATTTGAACGGGAGGAGTGGCTGATACTGACAATGGAACACCACGAATGGAAGGGAGGAATGACGCGTCCAAAGCAATCAATCAAACAACAAATAAAGGAGTGACGAGTGATGCAATATACAAATGTAAAGAATGACAGTGGTCAGGTCTTAATGATCGACAGAACGAGGGGATGAATAAGGAATGACAGCGAGAACGATTGTTAGAAAGAAACGAACCATCCTAGGAGAGAGAGAAAAGGACGGGAAAGGAAGGGGGGAAAGAAGGAAGAATAGAATAACAAATAAGGTTCCTGGGGAACGTTGCACTCGAGAAATGGATTGAAGAAAGGTGGATCTAGAGCGCAACTCCAAAAGAACGCCGGCGTGCCCTAAGTCTGTTCGGTGTATATACATGCAACACGTCCATACCCGCAATAGATGGATAGAATATACAATAGTTCCTCTAGCTACTCCATCGGCCCTGTATATATCTAACCATGGTCACTCTCCTGCTCAGTGGATTGAAATATCAAGGGAATTGATCGTTTTACTCATTTTTAGGGTCACTGTGATGGTCTTCCGATGTTCCCCCTGGAAAGCCCCCCTCAATTTCCTTTCCAAGCCTTCGGCTATGGAGAGCCAAGCGAACTTCCGTTCATATCCGGTCACATGGCTCGTCCAAATTTTCTTAATATTATAGACTAGCATGTGCGGAGGGGAAATACTGAAAAGAAGACATGAACCCTCTCTTTCGTGCCTGAATCATGTTGGTAGCTAAATTGATGGATAGCTACTTTCGTGAGAGCTGACCTCAACCCCTCCAGTGCAACCGTCACATCAAAGTCTTCCAAATTGGGACAAGACGCTAGTTACCCCTGGGATTTATTGTGGTCGCCTCGGCATTCTTTGTGGTCTTGAAATGCCTAGAAAGCCCCTCTCGCCCTGCCCTAAGAGCTGGATAATAAAGCTACTGCCAGGTACAAAGCGAACAAGAAGCTGGGAATACTCGGGAAGGGCCGATGACCCGAGACAATGTTTGTGGAACATGGTGTTTGAGACATCCCTCCTGGGTAATTGATCGTCTGAATCGCCAATAGGATGGCAATAGTGCCTGGCATTTCCCATGGACAGACATGGGGGATCTGTTAAGCAAGTGAGACAGTCAGGCCATGACCTATGCCTGCCCAAGGAAGTATCCCCGAGTGGGTGGCCGGTTCGCACAGTGCTGGCATTTAGCACAAGTATAACCTGAGATAATTATGGGTCCTGATCGCACGTTGCATGCTGGGGAGGTTAATGGGACCACGATCAGGGCAGCTGTTTTCTTCATTAGTCACCGACTAAAAAAAGAAACAAAGAGTCCGGTGCCCGGTCCAGCGGCGAGGGCAGCGTTGGGCTTTTAGATTAGCCAAAACTGCCCACGGGTGGTGGTGACCTCAGTAATACCGGCTAGGACTACTAAAATCAGTGTCTGGGCAGAGTCCTGGTAGCGTTCTCGTTAGTCCATCCTCTTCCTACCAATTGACTTGACTGAGTGGCGTTCATGGCGGATGGGAATGTCTTTGACCCATGCACCAATTAGGGGAAACGAGACGAGTGGAGCCGATGGGTCTTAAAAATTGAGTAAAATCACCCAATTCAGTCTAGGCAATCAACTCAAGCTTGCCATGACCAGGGCTTATGCTGGAAATGTTAGCTTGTTCTTTTCTTTTTTCATTTTTGAGTTTTCCCTCGTCTCTGGTATTGATACAGAAGCTAGGCCAAGGATCTACGGTCCGTGTTGGATTGGACATCCAATCTCAAATTGTCAGATATCGAACTCAATAATACGAATGAATTATTCGATACAATACGGAATATGGAATACGGAGTACTGGAAAAGCCATGTAGGATCATATTGTTCAGTGTGGACTATTAATTTCAAAAGGAATAGGTTAGCTTCGGCTATTCTGGAATGGGCATATATATATATAGCCTTATGCATCAGTATAATAATGATCATTGGATAATAAGTAAGACATCATTTCAATAATTTATACGCTTTCCTTTTTTTCCTCTCACTTTTTACCCTTTCTATCCTTTTTTTTTTTTTACTTACTAACTCTCTGGTTCGATCAGACCTTTTCCCAGTTGTCTCTCGGTCAGACACCGGAGGTTGAACTAAAGACCCACGGGAACCCGAAAAAATACGGGCTAAGAAATCTTGGACATCGTATATAATTGGCCAAGACCCACCGGGAGTTTGATATATTGAAACCGGATTGGCGACATCCCGATATCCTAACCGTGGATCTGAAGCAAGTTAGTGACTGGAGTCCAAGAGACCAATAACCCTAATATCCAAACAGGGTTAGCTGTAGCCAAGAATAAAAATGAGGTCAAGAGGTTTAAGGACCCGCCGTGACAGTGTTCTGGAATTTCCAACCTGTCTCCATGTTGTCACTTCCCTCGGCCTAGTTTTTCCTGTTCAGGTTTAGAGATAGAATAAAAAAATTCCATTCAAGAATGAAAATTCTTTTCCTGGGATTCCACGCCGCCATTTACTCGTCGGGTTTCACCCCGATGGATGAAAATAGGGCAGGCTCTATGGATCTAGGTACCAACCGAGAGCCACCACCGTCTGCATGGCGCAGAATTTCGATCCCAAGCCCTCCCCGGCCAATCGGGGTGCCCCGTTCTTATCTAAATCGGTGCTACGGTACTGTCCGGAAGGTACGGAGTACGGTATGTGTAGAACGACGGGACTGTAACGAGAAGGAAAAGAGAGGATTATTACAGTAAGACATAGCATGCAGTGTTGGTTTTAGTAAAGCCAATTAAGTCTCACCATCCCAGATACCATGCAAGCCACCGTGTCGTATCTAATCAACTCCTTCGGTTAATTACAATTGGGGCGTCGATACGAGATCTGAGCTCTTGAGGTTCGGATATCGCGAGAGATTACGGAACCTCTCACCATGGGCCACGATAGTTCGTCTGAGAGCACATGGCGATCTGGATGTGCAAAGGATCCAGCTTGAGGGACCAGCGAGACTGGCGGCGAGCAGAGGGGGGATTTACTGGATCGAAGTGGGAGTGGCTGAATAGGTGTCTCAATTGGCTGAAAGTAATCCATATTTCAAAAAAAATATGACTTGCCCCGTTGGGCTCCACTCATGTCCCGAACCGGGAGTCAACCTAACGGTTCCCAGTCTATACGAGAATGTATCAATTCGTTGTTTTCCGCTGGGGCATCCACAAAGTTTTTTTCGCCTTCGGACTGGCGAAACGTCATTCAAACCGCGGGTCGAGCATGAGCTCGACTCTAATAGCCAGCGGCGAAAGATAAAAATAAAAGTAAAAGTAAAATTCAAGGAAGTAAAAAAGGGACGGATGGGAATGGGATCCGGAGAAGCTAGAGTAAAACAGTGTGGTCACTAAGGCTCACCAACTCGTCGCTTTAAGCTGATCGGGGACAATAGTCTCAAAGTGAGCTGGCACTTTTGAGCAATAGAGTGTGGTCCTGACATCTGAGCCCTGTTTATTATTAGCAGACACGAGACGTCTTTGTTACATTTGATCCACTATCGCTAATGTTCACGAATCCTGCCAGCCTTTTATGCTGAGCCTCAAGGACAATTTGCTAGTCACTAGGTGGTTCTCTTGTCTTCCCTCTCTCCCTCTTTTTGCAACCTTTTCTCTCTCCTCAAGCTTTGTACCATTTTTGCCCGACTGTATTTTGTTTGTTTTTCCTGTTTTCTTCACTCTCCTGCACAATAGATTCCATTCGTTGAAAGCCGATCTGCTCGTTATCTGATGTCTATCGCTCGTTATCAGTATTCCCGACATCATTGACCGAGCAGTGGTGAACGCCTGGCAAATTATCTACCTGCGGGACATAAAAGATTGCGCATATATGATTGCATCATAGTGGATTACAGATTATTGCTTGCATCTTTTGGTTTTGTCGTCAACTTGACCACCGGGCGTGCCCGACATTGTCACCCATTATGAAGTGGGCTTTCTCCAGTACGGTGCTGGCGCTTTTCGCAACAACAGCAACGGCCTGGCCTTACGACGAATCTCTATCCGCATATAACCTTAACGAAAACAAATCCGCAACCAACCCAGCCCAATATTGGGGAGAATGGCCGGACCACAAGGGGAAATACTTCCCTTCTCCCGACAATTGGCGGTTTCCTACATATACCCTGTTCATGGACCGCTTTGTCAACGGAGATCCTACAAATGACAACATTAATGGAACCCTCTTCGAGCACGATATCTCCTCGACACAAATGCGCCATGGTGGAGATGTGGCTGGTCTACTCGATACTCTGGATTATCTTCAAGGAATGGGCATCAAGGTTCGTTGTTCGTGTAATCCAATTATGTGGGATGGCATACTAAGACTCCTTAGGCCCTGTATCTCGCAGGAACCATCTTGATGAACCAGCCTTGGGGCTCTGATGGTTATTCCGCTCTCGATACGACACTACTCGATCAGCACTACGGTGACATTGCGACATGGCGTAATGCTATCGACGAGATTCATAAGCGCGGGATGTATGTCATCTTTGATAACACGATTGCTACGTAAGTCTTACCGCATCCACGATAGAACATTCGAGACAATATCTAACGCATGTATTCAGGATGGGTGATCTCATCGGCTTCGAGGGCCATCTGAATGATACAACCCCATTTTCGACTAAGGAGCATAAGGCGCTTTGGAAGACCGATCGTCGCTATGTGGATTTCGATCTCGGAAACGACTATAATCAGACGTGCGACTACCCCCGTTTCTGGTATGAGGATGGTTATCCAGTTCAAGAGTCCATGACGGCGGGGCTGGTTGGTTGTTATGACAGCGACTTCGATCAATATGGCGATATTGAGGCTTTCGGTGTGTTTCCTGATTGGCAACGTCAGCTCGCAAAATTCGCGTCCGTCCAAGATCGGCTGCGAGAATGGCACCCCTCGGTCCGCGAGCGGTTGATTCGTCATTCGTGTATGATCATCTACTCGTTGGATATCGACGGTTTCCGTTACGATAAGGCTACTCAGTCGACCGTGGACGCGCTGGGAGATATGTCGATGGCTTATCGCGAATGCGCCCGTGCCGTTGGCAAGAAGAATTTCTTCATTTCCGGTGAAATTACTGGTGGTAATACTTTTGGTTCTATCTATCTGGGCCGAGGTAGACAACCTAACCAGTATCCTGAGACGGCGGAGAAAGCGATGAAAATGACCAACGAGTCCGAGTCGCAATATTTTCTGCGTGAAGCTGGACATGAGGCGATCGACGGTGCGGCCTTCCACTATTCGACATATCGTGCTCTGACTCGGTTCTTGGGTATGGACGGTAACTTGGCCGCCGGTTACGATGTTCCTGTGGATTGGGTCGATGCGTGGAATTTGATGCTACAGTCAAATGACTTCATCAACCCTAACACCGGCAAGTTTGATCCCCGCCATATGTTCGGCGCGACCAACCAGGATGTCTTCCGCTGGCCAACAGTCGAAAAGGGTGTAGAAAGGCAGTTGCTTGGGCTGTATATCACTACATTGCTTCTTCCGGGTATTCCCCTCCTCCTTTGGGGCGAGGAACAGGCATTCTATATCTTGGATGCGACGGCATCTAACTATATCTACGGCCGTCAAGCAATGTCTCCTGCGACTGCGTGGAGAGACCATGGTTGCTTTTCTTTGGATTCTTCACAGTACTATAAGTGGCCTATTCAGGCTGGTCGTGAGGGTTGCCATGACCCAACCGCTGCGTACGATCATCGTGACCCGTCCCACCCAGTGCGCAACGTTATCAAACATATGTACCAGCTGCGCGAAGAATTCCCTGTACTGAATGATGGCTACTCCATTCAGAAACTTTCAAACCAAACCGAGGAGGTCTTCTATCCAGGTTCCAACGGCACCGCTACAGAAACGGGTTTGTGGTCTATCTTACGTGATGTCAATGCCGATGTCCAGGACCTCGGCTCTGACGCGAATAACCAACCGGTTTGGCTTGTCTACCACAACACCAACCGTACAGTTGACTACAAGTTCAAATGCAAGGATAATGAGACCGCACTGATCTCGCCGTTCGTCACCGGCACCAAAGTTCGGAATCTGTTCTATCCCTATGACGAGCACACCTTGATTGATGGCCCTGTCAAACTTGGGCTGAACGGATCTACCGAGCTCAACGGCTGCCTGGCCAACATGACCTTGGAGGCCTATGCGTTCCGCGCCTACGTCCCCAGCACACGTTTCACCAAGCCCCGGCCCATGATCACGAAGTTCACTCCCGGGCATGACTTCCCTGTTCGCTCCACGGTAGCTCCCAATCGTGACGAAAGCGTGAAGATCGAGCTCTATTTCTCCGAAGAGATGGACTGCGATTCCGTTACCAAATCAATCACCATCAGCTCCTCTACGGAATCTCAGAGGGTCCCGACACTGGATGAGAAGACTGTAGATTGCAAGGGAATTCCAGCAAGCAACACTTCGTGGACCGGGCAGCTCCCTAGCGTCTTCATGTGGGCTGCCAATCTGACAGGAGTGTACAACGGCATTCACCGGGTCACAGTTAAGAACGCTAGCAGCACCCATGGAAACGCGACAACAAACGCGGTCGACCACTTCCTCTTCCGTATCGGACAAATCGATAATCCCATGGTCTTTACATCAGCCAACTATTCGAGTAGTTTGCTCCATGAGGAATCAAACGGTACCCTGTTCATCCAGCATCACGCAGCAGGTGCCGATAAGTGGCGTTATTCCACCAATTGGGGAACCACTTTCTCCGACTGGAAGACTTACACAGGTGGTAATGATACCATCACGGAGTTAGAATGGTCTGGAACCAAGAAACAGAAATGGAATGGACACCATGTCCGGGTCGAGTACTGGAGCAAATGGACCGGTAGCAGCGATTATGTTCAGGAGGGCGACGCTGGACTGCATTCGAATGTGCCACGCCGCTTCCCTCACATCTTCTTTAACGGCCCCTACAATCAGTACGGATATGACGGTGGTCTCGATAATGTGGTGAGGCAGGACTCCAAAGACGGAATCTGGAAGTATCACTTTACAGCAGAATGGCCTGCTCAAGCCCAGCTGAACATCTGGGGCATGAATCCGGATGGACAGCCTGATCAAAGCTGGGTGCTTGGTGATGCCGATAATGATTCCGTTCTGGATCGAATGCCACCATCCTCTCTGTCTGCGACCTTGATTAACATCACAGAGCACCCGCCTAAGCCTTATCTGGCCTGGAATGTCTACATCAACGATGCCACCATGAAGTTCCAGCTCTTCCCCGTTGGACACCAGAACACCCAGATCGCCATGTTTGTGCTCTTCTGGATTATCCCCGTCATCACCGGTGCAGCATGCGTATACATATTCATGAAGTCTTTCTATAAGGTCAAGTTTAACCAGATCGGTGTAAGTGAAAAGGCCACATTGATCCCATTGGCTTTGCGGAGGAAGTTCAAGAGGAACCGTGGCGGTGATGAGGAAAAGATGAACCCCTTGATGCGTCTGGCCAACAAGTCTGGCTTCCTGCAGGCGAACACCGCTATTGGCGGCGCTGCTTCTGGCAAGAGACGCATGGTTCTCATCGCAACAATGGAGTATGATATCGAGGATTGGCAGATCAAGATCAAGATTGGTGGTCTTGGTGTCATGGCCCAGCTCATGGGTAAAACTCTCGGACACCAAGACCTGATCTGGGTTGTCCCCTGTGTCGGCGGAGTTGAATACCCAGTGGATAAACCCGCAGAACCAATGAACGTCACTATCCTCGGCAACTCCTATGAAGTTCAGGTCCAGTACCATATCTTGAACAACATCACCTACGTTCTGCTAGACGCCCCTGTGTTCCGTCAACAATCCAAGTCCGAACCCTATCCAGCCCGTATGGATGACCTCAACAGTGCTATTTACTACTCCGCCTGGAATCAGTGTATTGCTGAGGCATGCAAACGATTCCCAATTGACCTGTACCATATCAACGATTACCATGGCTCTATAGCTCCACTCTACCTTCTTCCCGACACTGTACCCGCTTGTCTCTCCCTTCACAACGCTGAATTTCAGGGTCTCTGGCCTATGCGTACACAGAAAGAGAAGGAGGAGGTGTGCTCTGTCTTTAACCTGGATATTGATACTGTCAGACGGTATGTGCAGTTTGGTGAGGTTTTCAACTTGCTCCACGCTGGTGCTAGTTATCTTCGTGTCCACCAGCAGGGTTTCGGTGCCGTCGGTGTGTCCAAGAAGTACGGAAAGCGGTCATACGCCCGTTATCCAATCTTCTGGGGTTTAAGAAAGGTTGGCAACCTGCCTAACCCTGATCCTTCGGATGTGGGAGAATGGAACAAGGAAAAAGCTATGGGCAACGCTGATGAGGTTCACGTGGATCCTGACTATGAAGCCGGCAGAGCAGACCTCAAACGCCAGGCTCAGGAATGGGCTGGCCTTGACGTCAACCCTGACGCTGATCTTCTAGTATTCGTTGGTCGTTGGTCCATGCAGAAAGGCGTTGATTTAATCGCCGATGTGATGCCGGCTGTTCTTGAGGCTCGCCCTAACGTGCAAGTCATTTGTATCGGGCCTGTTATCGATCTTTATGGTAAATTTGCCGCCCTGAAGCTAGACCACATGATGAAGGTTTACCCTGGACGTGTGTTTTCAAAACCTGAATTCACCGCCCTTCCGCCTTATATCTTCTCCGGTGCTGAATTCGCGCTCATTCCCTCTCGTGACGAACCCTTTGGTCTAGTAGCAGTCGAGTTCGGCCGTAAGGGAGCCTTGGGTATCGGTGCCCGTGTCGGTGGTCTCGGTCAGATGCCTGGTTGGTGGTATAACGTTGAATCTACTGCGACATCTCATCTTCTGTACCAGTTCAAGC